TTCTCGTTCTCTGTCTGCGGATCCTGTAGCCTCTGAGAGTGGTGCAGGAGCCCGCATCGCGGCTTCTCCTGCCCACGATCAGGTCCCAGTGCTTGAGCTCACTGCTTCCGAGGAAGTGGATGTGCTCAGCATTGGTGCTGACGACCGTGTGTTTAGCACGCCAGTTCGAGGCCAAAATTATGAGGAGCTGGTTGAGGTTGTGACTCGTGCTGTGGCCAGACTTTACATCAGCTGGCCACATAATGAGCAGGGAACGCAAGTTAAAAGTAAACTTGATGAGTGTTTCCTGCAGCACAGATCGCAACCTCAGCGCCGGGGTTTGTCGTTTTTCCCTGATCTCCACAGAGAGATCACAAGATCGTGGGATAAGCCGCACTCGACCCGTGTCTCCAGTCCCAGTTTGGTTGCTTACAGCAATGTTATGGGGACATGTGTTATGGGAAGATGCCGAAGGTGGAACAAGCTTTAGCGGGTTATCTTTCACCTGAGTCGGCATCTTCCCTAAAAATCCCGGCGTTGCCTAGTAAGCCCTGCAGAGACACATCTGCATTGATAGGCAGGGCTTACATGGTGGCAGGTCAGGCTGGTTCATGTCTGCACTCTATGGCGATCTTGCAGGCATACCAGGCCGATCTCCTGAAAGATTTAGACGAGGGGGAGGGGCTGACTCCTAAAGATGTTGCGGAGTTGAGGAAGGCCACAGATTTGTCTCTCCGGGCCACAAAAGAGACGGCCCGCGCCATTGGCCACTCTATGGCTGCCATGGTGGCCACAGAGAGGCATCTGTGGCAGAACTTATCCAGCATAAAGGATAAGGATAGGTCTTTTCTGCTTGATGCGGCACTTTCGCCTTCTGGTCTGTTCGGTGACGCCGTTACATCGGCCGTCGACAGGTTCCAGGAGGCGAAGAAACAATCTGACGCGTTCCAGCAGTATCTCCCCCGTAAGGCGAAGTCTAAATCAAGTAGGGTGGGGCAAAGCGATCAGCCCCAGACATCAGCCAGCTCCTCACACCGGGCAGAGCAGAAAGAGAGCATTTCTTCTAGAGCCCCTCCTCCTGGAGCAACAGAGGAAACGCTCTCAGAAATCGAAGTCCTTCAGCCAGAAAGGCAACCTGAGGGACGTCATTCAGGGTAGGAGGGCTTCGGGAAAGAGGTCCTAACCGAAGTGGTAGGACCTCGGTGGGCTGTCCCCTCCTCTGCGGGGCAACCGAGGTTGTTCTCGCAGCGGAGCCCTCTAGGAAACGATGTATGTTGCCCGCCATCAACGACGCTTTGGGCTGCATCTCTTTCCAGCAAAAATATTATAAAAAAGAAAAAGCATCGATTATGGTAACAAGGACCGTATCGACTACAGCCTGCCGGTATTCCGCTTCAGGGAGTTGAGAAAGATGCTTGAAAAACACCAGAGGCCAGTCTCGAGAGGCTGGTACCCCTAGTAAATTTTGTAGAGGCATGGTATCATCTTCCCAACACATCTGCATGGGTCCTGGTACGGCTTTCCACGCACCATTAAGTGATTGGCCTCTGGGGAGGCACCAGTTGGTCATTCGGTTTCTCCATGGTACTTGGAGGATGAGACTGGCAACCAGGTCCAGGGTTCCTGCCTGGGACCTGGCAATGGTTCTGGAAGGGTTATCCCTGGCCCCCTTTGAACCTTTAGAGTCGGCTTCACCTAAGGACTTAACGCTGAAAATGTTTTTTCTCTTAGCTATTACCTCACTTAATGGGCACATATCATGCAAAATCCACTTTTTTAGCCCTTAAATGCATTTTGTTGTATATTTGGAGTGTTTATAAGTATAGAAAAGATGAAATTATTCTCTTCAGGTGCTTCGTTTATATCTTTATATTCTATTTTGGTCATATTTTTCAACCTGTTTTCCTATTCTCTATTACATTTACTTATGAACAATTACGTCACAGTATTTGCAGCGGAACTGACAAATAAGGACATTGACTACCGGCCCAAAACTTCGAGCAATCTGCCATTATTATTTCTCGCTCCGATTTTGTAGTCCAAGCTCAATAATGCAGAAGTTATAAGAGGGCTAGTCAAAATGTTCAGTTGTTGGATGTAGTGACCTGAAGCACTTCAAGGATCCCCACTTCAACAACCTCCGCCAGTATACAGAAGGGTTTGCCGATCAACTTCGTCTGAATGAGGGGTAAATTCCTTCTATCATTTAGCTGTTGTGTTTTCTGACGCTTTCTAAACGTAAGTTATCATATTGTTATCAATACAGATTTTTAGTGGTAAGATCAGACTCACAGGTGACGGCATTTGTCATTTATCTTGTCAGTGTGCTTGTTTTAACAAGAGAAATAGTCGACTTTCACTAATAACACAACATAGTTAACTTACATACCACTGCATCCATATGAAGACGTTGCTCTACAGGTTTGTCGTCGTCTTTTTCAACTCGCTCGCTCTGGCTCGAATATGTAAGGCTTGATGGACAAGTCTTCCGTTGTTGACATTTTGTTAACGTGTGAATAAAAATGTTCTTTGAAGCTATAGTAATCGTATATCTCTTATCAAACTACAATAATGGCCGAACGCGGGGAGTTGAACCGACCGTGAACTCAGCGACCTGGAAAGCGGGCAGGGAAAGACGAAACTCCTTTTTATTTAAAAGGGGCCACTTCGAAACGACTTGCTCACAGAAGCACATCAGAAAAGGGGTAGAAAAGGGGCCTGTGGAGCTATAATAATGAGGAATTCAGACCCAAGCATTACAGTTATGCTTTATAGAGACCACAAATGTATGATTTATAAGTAAAAATGAATGATTTAAAAGCATGATATGTACCCTTTAAGAGGGTGGGAGATCTCCAAGCCCTGGCAGTGACGCCAGCTTGCTTGGAGTTTGCCCCTGGCAGAGTAAAGGCCTTTTTGCACCCGAGTCCGGGCAACGTGCCTAAAGTTCCATGGAATACGGCTCGTTCTATAGTCCTTCAGGCATTCCATCCTCCACCTCATGTGTCAGCGGAAGAAGAGAGTCTTCATTTGCTCTGTCCTGTCAGAGCTTTGAGCTTGTACCTTGAGAGGTCCTCTTCTTGGAGAAGGTCAGACCAATTATTAGTATGTTTTGGGTCACCTAAGAAGGGGCTCCCGGCATCCAAGCAGACTATTAGTAACTGGATAGTCCAGGCTATTACGGAGGCTTACAAGGTGCGTGGCTTGCCTTCACCTTTAGCCATAAAGGCTCATTCAACTAGAGGCATGGCTTCCTCTAGGGCCCTTCTTTCGGGAGTACCTCTGCAGGAGATCTGTGAGGCAGCTACTCCACATACTTTTATTAGGTTTTACAGTCTCCACCTTCCTAGTACGCCCGGTGCACACGTGCTCAGTCCTTGCTGAGTGCTTAAACAGTTTAACTCCGGGACAGGCCTATTCGGTGCGTGGCCTAGTGGGCACTCGTTCCCCAAAGTGTCGATTCTCGACGCAGTGTAGAGTTCCCTCGAAAGGGAACGTATCGGGTTATGACTATAACCCTTGTTCCCTGAGAAGGGAATGAGACACTGTGTCGTTCTGCCATGCCCCTTGAGGCCTTAGAGCGTCTTGCTTCATCGCGAGGCTAGTGTGTGTTGTGACAGCGTCACTTTTATACTTCCGGGTATGCCGTCACATGTTACGTCACGACAAAACACCAATCAGGATTGGATTAGTTTCATTCATACTTCAGAGGCGCACGCTTAGGGAGCGTGCCCAAAGTGTCGATTCTCGACGCAGTGTCTCGTTCCCTTCTCAGGGAACAAGGGTTATAGTCATAACCCGAGACGGTTTCGATAAGTGGGCCTAAAGTTCCGCTTTTAATGCTTAAGCAATTTGAAAAAACTACAAAAAAAGTTAACTTTAAAATGTTTATTACATCACAAAGCACCATATGCATGCTCTAACAAATGTGTTAAAAATGAATTGTTAGAGTGATATATCATTTAATCAAACCTATGAAATAAATATTGCTTCTCTATCTGCTCTGTTCTGTCTCTCTGGGTGCAGTTAAAGTGTGGTGTCATAGAGGCAGACCATTTAACAACTGCAGCCATGACCCACTGTGAGATCACTTCAATGTTTCACGTCAATGTTTCTTGTTTAGTTTGATCTGTGTGTTTTTCAAGGACAGAGAGAAACAGTCAAGCAAGCTGAAACAGACACAAACATGGATTCATTCAACTATAGCTGAACTACACAAGCTGCGACTACACATAAATACTCGCTCTCTTGCACAGATTAAACTGTATAAGGACGTGAACCCTCATGACAAACAAGCTCAGTGACAGATAATTTATGAGGAGGAAGAAGTTACTCAATCATTACGTCACTGTCCACACACACATTCAATGTGCTCACTGACTCATGTTGGATAATCCGCATTTCTCATTTCAAATGAAGGCCTAGCAGCAGTAATCCTATTTCTTCTGATAGAGATAGGAGAGATGAAAGGTATATGTGGGTGTTAGTCTGATGGCAAGGGGATTATTTCATTTTACACTATACTACACATAAAATAGTTTTAGTAGTGACTAGTGAGCTATCACCATTGCACTGTTACCCTTTTTATCACATGGACTGATAGCAAAATTATAGTTTAGGTCAGTTATTCTAGTATAACACTGCTAGCATAGTGATACTAACATGATGCTGAGATACTAAAGCATTAGCATTGGCATATATCACTTGCTAATATGTAGCCTGGTATAATTCATTTTGGATCTAAACCCGGAATGTGTTGTTGAAAAAATATGCCTCTACCTACCTTTTTGCAAAACTCACTCAAACAATTCACTGCAGTTTCCAGCTGAAATGAACTCTAGATGCAGTAAAACACCAACAAGTTTTTGTTCACAAAAATAATAATCAGAAGGGCAGATTATCAATTAATAAAGACTTTTCCATGAGCAACTCCTTGTACAATTCTATGCTATGACCTAAACACACTTTTATCAATATTATACACACACTAAATTCTTGATGTATATGCATGTATTTGGTACCTGGTAATTCAGATAATGCTCCTCTTTCGATGATGTGTTTCCTGTAGAGGGTCTTCAGCACTTTGGCACTGCCAAATCTCTTAAACCGACTCTTCACATTATTGTAGTACCATTCTAGAGACTGTGTCCTCAAGAGCCTACACACAAAAGACAGTGGTTGGATGATACATTTAACCTAATAAACAAATTAATTAAAAGCAACACAAAGCAATATTAGATGAAATGCTATTCTTATTTTGGCTGTGGGATTATTCTAGTTATAATGCTGAGAGTGTGTAACCAGTGTCACTGTTTTATTTCAAATACTAGTAAGCAAATGCTGTATTTCATTTATAATAGAACATTACTTTAAAAATCAATTGTGTATGCATTGCCAAAGTATGACTAATGTCTTTTCTCTGCACTATTTCATCAAGTAAAAAGACTTTTAATTAGTATGTAGTCATTGCTCAGTGACAACTACTATATTAGGCTGACATTGCTTTATTATAGAGATTGTGCAGCCATTACTCTATTCTAATGATTGTGCTGTCTCTGCTCTATTATAACTATTTAAGATCAATGACCTATTGCAATTAAATTTAAACATGTCTTCATTGTTATATATCTATCATTGCCCTTTGACTTGCTTTATTTCATTAATTTCGAAGTCATTGTTCGAGATTCAACTATTTGGAGTCAACATTGTGCTATCACTTCTCCGGTTAGGTTATAACACTGCTTTAATAGAACTGTCAAGTAATCTCTATGGCAACTAAGTGCTTTATGGTAATATCAGAAAATTAGTTCTTTACTGTGCTGTACAGTTTATTATGACAAAAATAAAACACAGTGACTGCTCACTTTTATTTTCTCCATAGGAATTCCCCCAAAAAATCTTCAGAGTTCGCCCAAAACTCATAGTTATTCAAGAGGAAATTTTCATCTAAATGAGATATGAATTAAATCTGAGAAGGGAATTAAAATACTCATATGTGAGTCTGCCAAGCTCCCTGACACTTCCCATGGCAAACGGGATCATTACCATAATTGGCTTTCTGAAGCTTTAATGAATATAACTTGTGTCCATTGGGTAACATGAGCAGAGGAGGACAGAGATGGATGACAAGAGAGAATCACGCACAGGGTTTGGAGTAGGCCTAAACGAAATCCCAAATTAATCATTTTCTCTTTCTGTGAATACTGATAAATTATACATATTTGTTTAATAGTATTATTGAGTCAACATTTTCTCTATTAAAAGACAAAAGCATACTTCAGTGAAAAACAAACAAATGTAATTGTTTAGACAAACCAAATTAGTTCAACAGAAAATCTGAGGCGTTGCAGCTGTGGGGGATGGGGGGACACGTCCCCTCTACTTCTATTTAAAGGTGATTCTGTTTTCTGTACTTTTCCAACACACCACCACTATTCCCCTCCATGTTCTTTGGTGTTGGTTAAATGGGTTAGTGTGAACTAAAATTCAGTCAGTGAGTTTCAGTGTAGCTCTGTTCTATCTCTTATTCATTGTTCTTTTTATTTGGCAGGCTGAGAACCTGATGTTAAATTCATTGCACTGCACTGTATTAAAAACAGAGGACATTCTCATAATTCTTTCAAACACAGTGTATTTTAATTTCTATCATGACCACACTCGGAAATGAGGTAATGATAATGGTAATGGGTATGACAAGGTTAATGTGTTTTGGTGGAATAGATCAAATGCTTCTGCAGAGCAAGCTACAGAGACTTGCTACTGCCAAGACACACACATACACACTATGTAAGACACATATAGATACACATATACATATAAGCATATATGAAATCACCCATTGCAGATCTACAGTATACAGGTGGGGCTTGGAAAGATGGAGGGTTTCAGAGGAACTTTGAAAGTAGAAAAAATACAACATTTTTTTGCACTGATTATGCAATTTCTATATTAGCTTTTGTTCATGTTCTTAAATTTAATTGGTGTGTAGGGAAGACAAAATGCCTTGTCTCAGAGCAGCAATTAAATTTATTGACACGTTAGATTGATAGAAAAATGCATGAATGAGAAAATACAGCACAGGATGTTAAATGAAAATAGATATAAAGCATGATAAGTCACAAAAAACACGATACTTGCCCTATCTGACACGGGTTTTCAAACCTGTCACTGCACATTTTGTATGGGTGCGTCAGGGCACAGGGAGTCAGGCTCACTACATATTGGGAACTGATGACCCTATTTCCGCACAGATGACAATGCCTTCATTGTACGACATTACTACTGGTATTTATGAACCACAGCAGAACCAAAATCTTTCTGCAGTTATTTTTTAATGCTATTTGTGTATTTTGAAAAATACTTTGCTTGTTTATAAATTATAAATGTAATAGATCATGTCCATTACCTGTCTAAAAATTAGTTTATACTTAATATAATTATATAATTAAACATCTATCGCGTGTCATTTTGTGTTGTGAGTTGGCCCACGTGATTTAAGTTTTTTATGCTACAGAACTTTAGGGAACATAGTGACCATTGATTTACCCTGGTTTTCACAGTGCATGGGACTTTTTAAGGAGCAAACTTTCAGTGCTCTCTTGTGATTTTGTTCTTAAAATATCCGACTCCTTGACTAATGAAGGAGTCAGCCATTTGTTTTTTTAAAATGTCACAGTGCCTTGACTAGGGAGGTGATTGAGACACACCCTTTTTCTCCCCTATCTGACACACCCACTCCAGGTCTTGCAGTCTCTACTAATAAGCTGATGAGTTGAATCAGGTGTCTTAGAAGAGGGAGACATACAGAATGTGCAGTGCAGGGGGTCCTCTAGGTTTGAAAACCCCTGGTCTGACACACACACACATTATGCGTGGCATACAAATGTGGCCATTAAGAATGCATCCCAAAGTGAAAGGGATCCTGCCAAAACATGCGGTAGCACGCAGGAACACAGGGGATGCTTTAGCACAGCAAAGACAGGATCATTAGGGGGCAGTCATGTTTCATTCTGAGTCATGTCACATACTGAAGTATATGAAGAGTTCAGATGCAAAAGCCTCTAAGTGCCATTTAAAAATTTTCTTCTAGAATGGTCATTTTTATCAAGCTTGTATATTTAAGTTCAGTAATTTCACTTAAATGGCAATGAAATACCTATTAATTGTCATTTAAGTGAAATGATTGAATCATTCTAGAAGAAAATTTCAAATGGCACTTAGAGGCTTTTGCATCTGAACTCTTCACATATATATATATATATATATATATATATATATATATATATATATATTCAACATTACAGATAAAAAGTGTTGAGTGTTACCACTGATCTAACCTATATAAATGATTGGATTGCTCCTGATGTCATAAAACGTGAAGCCACCATGCCGCCATATTTGTATTCCCTAGTATTGCCTCACATTCTATTGAATTAATAGCGAATCATCAGACTTTAATGAAAAAAAAAAACATTTCCTTTTGAGCCATCATTTTTATATACAACGTGTCCCTGCACTCTAAAAAAATGCTGGGTTATTTTTACCCAATTTTGGGTAAAATATTGACAAACCCAGCCATTGGGTTAAAAATGTAAATTAAAAATTATACCCAATGGCTGGGTTTGTCCATATTTTACCCAAAATTGGGTTAAAACAACCCAGCATTTTTTAGAGTGTGTACATTCTTACAATGCAAACATCCAAAACATTTAAATGGTTATTTGTTTAAAGCTGGGATTTTCTCCTCATTAAAAGTTACGTTCATCTCCACTAAGCGAATATCAGATCAGCTGACGAACGAGACACCATTCCAAATGTGAATACAGATTTATAATTTGTATGGCATTTCCATACAACTTAACTCGTCATGTACAGTTAGTCATATGTATTCATATTATGTTCTATAACAATACTTTTTTATTTGTACAGTAACTGTAAATGATTCAACAGTGTTTTCATTAACAACATGCCTTATTACGAGAAATAATGCTGACTCCGTATGGATTTAAAGAGATGAAGCTTTATTTCCAAGCATTAATACTGTCGCTCAGAGCAAGATGATGAATGACAATTTAATATAATATAGTGCAATTTTCAAATAGGAAATTGTACGTATTGTAATATTTAATGTACATATGAATCAATTTCTGCTAATAATCCCAGATATCTGTTCATGCTTAATATTTCCATTAAAATTCAATACATAAAGAAATCTATTTTGTGTTAGTTCAGTTACCCGTGTCGGCAGTGTGCAGTAGACACACCCATCTTACTTATTTCTAAACCATTTCTATCACTTATCCTGCCCCAAAATACCATAAACATTACAGATAACATTCAAAGTATCAATTAATGTTCATATATATTTCTTAAAATGTTTAAATTCATGTGTGGCTGATACGCTGCAAATAATCGGGTGATTTTAGGTCATTGTTTTGCCTGCAATCCAATGATGCCCTTTGTTGGTATCGGTGGCTGTCTGCTGGCAGTTCACAATCAATTGAACAATCTACTAATTTATATAGATCAGTGAATGTTATGCATCTTCATGACCCACTTTTAGAGAGAGGATGCAGACTTGAGATTCATTAACCACAATGGCAATGATTTTTGCAGTAATTTACATTATAATATCTGACGTAATGTAATGAAGCCGTGGCCTACAGCAGAGAGCATTTCCACAATCTTTTTTCTGTTCAGATGTTCATTTATGTTATAAAGGAGCTGTCTTACACTGAAAAACTCTATGTGCTTCCCTCTGAAGTCGATGGAAATTAAGCATGAAAATGAAGTTTACAAATAGTGCGGGTGAAACAGACCGTGTTATTATTTAAATTACAGTTACGATGGCACACATTTTGCACATACTGATCTGTCAACACAGAATATGGTGAGGTGAGAAATGAAAAATCACAAAGTTAAATGGACATCATCTTTTGCAGCTCTTGAGATGTGATCAGCATCTCAATAACATCAGGCTTGTCCTTACATTCAACATCATAATAGGAATGTTGGGGTTTCTCGTGTTTTTTTAAAGACGGCAAGCTATTTTAAGAGAATATTATTATTAAAGGTAAAAAATAGCAAACACTTCCCATGTACTTTCGGTAGTACTGTATGTATGGCATATGGCATCATAAGAACCAAGGCAGTAGTTTG